AGTATTGTCTTATGTCAGAACTTTGGGGGACTAGTTTGGTAAGGATACTATTTTGCTTTTGCTTGGTATCATTCCTCTTGATTTCATGTTGTTCTTATTTTTCATATATATATATATATATATATATTTCATATTGTTTCTGTGGTGTTACTAATATTGTTTTCTTTTGTCCTTTTGTCTTATTGAGCTGAGGGTCTTTCGAAAACAGCCTCTCTACTCCTTCGGGGTAGGGGTAAGGTCTGCGTACACACTACCCTCCCCAGACCCCCCTAGTGAGATTACACTGGGTTGTTGTTGTTGTTGTTGTTGTTGTTATCGGCTGTGAAAAATATTCAGCATGTTTTCTCTTAAGATTGCTATGTTTTTGGGGTATTTTTCCGTTGAGAATCTTTTTTATAACTGGAAATACAAAATTTGTGTGTTATAATTGAGTTTGTTGAGTTATATTAGGAGTCTATTATGCTGATTGGTTCACTTTTCGTTTAAAAATAGTTGAATAGACCATGAATTGCGCTATTTAAATTACTGTATTCACAAATACATATCGTGAATACAGTCGAATACAATAATTTGTCTAGCTGCAATCTCATGCTTCACGTCGTGAATACAGTCGAATACAAAAATCTATCTAGTTGTAATCCCATGTTTCACGCCTAGAAATGCTACTGTATTCGTGAATACAATAGCTAAAATACATCGATGATACTCTAAAAACCCTGAAAACATAGCTATAGGAAGTAATATAGTAAATGGTAGCAAAAATAGCTAATAACCACTAAAACATAGTGATTTCTGAAAGTTTCACTAAAGAGAATCGGTTATGTTTTAGCCTTCTTTTAGGTTTGGCAAAAATTGCCCCAAAAAATTGACATTATATAAAACCTAGTTCCTTAATTATTCTCTCTCCCCATATCTCTTCTTCTATCTCCCGTATCTCTTTTCTTTTCCTCAAGTAAAAGGAAAAATAACATTAGTAGACGCACAAAAAAATACCATCAACCAACTGATCTCTCTCAAACAAATCACTCAGCAACCCATGAACCAGCATCAGTTAGGCTATTTTCGGGGATTAGGTGACGATAATAGATAATTTTGCGATGATGACTTTTTTCGGCAATTTTGAGTCTGCCCGGTGGTGAGTGTGATGGGTAAAACAAAAATTGGATTATCTTATAGAGAAATTGAAGGAGACAGTGGTGGAAGGTTCCTCTAGTGAATAGCCCATTTCCACGCCATTAACAACAAACCCATTTCAATTTAGTAATTTTTCTTCCAAATAAATTTTATATTTTGTGCTTCAAAAGTATTTCAATTAAATAGAATTTGCAGGGATTCTTAGTTAGACCCGCATTAGCGTTCGCTGTTCCCCATTCCACCCCAATTCTTTTGAGATTTTATTTTATTTTAGGGAATTCTCATCTTGTATACCAATATATTTTTGGTATATATTTTTATGTATATCCATAAGAAATTATGTATTATACAATGATATATACAAGGAAAGAAAATAATTTTTTTATATACATTTTAATATACACAAAGAATGAAAATAAAATTGTGATATACATTTTTGGTATACACATTGTTAATGTATTATACATTGTGATATATAAAAAATACAATTATTTTTGTGTTATATACTTGGATATAGAGACAAAAATAAATTATAGACAACTATATTTATAATTTTATATTTTTGATATACCAAGAAGGAAAAAAAAGTTATGATATACATTTTAATATATACGAAGAAAGAAAATAAAGTTGTGATATACATGTTAATATATACAAAGAAAGGAAAGAAAGTTGTGATATACATGTTGATATACACATTAGTGTTATAATATACATTTATTGGCTATAACTAGGGCTTTTTTCTGCTAATTATGGGGTATGTCGTCACACCATGCCAAAACCCCTTTCAAATTCTAACACACAAAAATGGATATATGGACTTTTGGCACAAAAACTTAGGTGCGAAGTGAACAAGCGTGGAAATGACAACGTATTTAAAGTTTAACTGCCTTAGAATCAAACTTCAGATCATCGGTTTAAAGTTTCAATTGCGAGTTTGTATTTAGAACCCTAGGTTTGAAGTTTGAATCCAAGAATGTTAAACACCCATGACTTCTAGACTGACTTCCATTTGAAGATAATAGAAGTTCACCTACTTTCTTATTATTTGCTTAACAATATGAAGTAATCGACATATCAATAGGAGTTTATGAGAAACAAAAGAATTTACATTTTATTGGATTTAAAAAAATCTAATTACAAATCCGATTGGTAAAAAAAAAATATTGTTGTTGATAATGGAAATGAAAAATATTAAAATGTATGATATAATTTATACTTCAGAAAAATGAAATATCGTTGTTGATAATGAAAATAAAAAATGTTAAAACAACACCGCGTGCCCTTGTTGCTAACTCCATTCACATATGATTTTTATTTTTTTTGACAAACAAAGATAGATATTTATATAGAGTTACGTAACATTGTTCATTACATCATCCTCAATGGTAGTGGAATTGAGGATGTTCATATTGCCTAGTCTGGCAAGATCACACAAAACATGAGTAGATAGTTTCTTAACAAAATAAACATAGCATCCTATCTGCATCTAGCTTATTTAGGATAATAGTATGGGGCCTATCTAGTAGCTGATGATCCATGCGCTTTTCTAGAGCTTCCTTATCCAGTCCATGTGCCACTTGATTCCCATCTCTAAAGTTATGGAGAATTTTCGGCTCCTTCAGACGATGCATAAACCACCTGCAATAGTTGGCAATCATATAGTTAGATATGGACTATTTAATCACTGATCACTATTCACTAGCATATAGAACATTGATGTGTGTGTACTACCTATGCTATGAACATAGCTATGATCAAATATCCGATCACCACTCTTAAAAATTAAATGAAACAACAACAACAGCAACATATCCAATGGAATCCCATAAATGGGATTTGGGGAGGATAATGTGTAATTAGACCTTACCCCTACTTTAGAGAGGTAGAGAGCTTGTTTTCAGTAGACCCTCGGCTCAAGAATAGTGAGATATAAACCACCTGCAATAGTTGGCAATCATATAGTTAGATTCATTACCATTAATTAAAGTTTGGATTACCTCCGTAGAGTCCGTTTCTATAACTAGTGAAGTGAAACCATGAGCTAAAGCTATTTGTAGCCCTTCCTTTAGAGCCTCCAGTTCACACTGAAGGGGTAATGAAGCTGGGCAATGATGTTGATAGCCCATAATCCATTGGCCGTGATCGTCCTTGAAGGAGCCTCCCAAGCCTGCTAGGTTAAGGTTTTTACTAAAAGCACCATCAATGTTTAGCTTAAGCGAACCTGCGGGAGGTTTATGCCATGCGACCATTATTGCATGTTTCTTAGGCTTCGGTTGATCTCGTTGGGTTAGCAATTTATATTCAGTGTCCAGCATAACAGTACTTTTAATAGTTAGTCTGAAGGAAGTGTTTTTCACATTATTATTATTACGATTCAACCAAATGTTCCAAATGACAAAAGGAAAAAGATCAGTCCAGTTAACAAACTTAGAAAGATTTGGAGGATGAAGGTCTCTTAAGGAAGCTAGCCAATGGGCGAAGGTGGTAATAGGACTGCTTTTAAAACCCATTAGATCCCAGAAGCCATAAACGGCTGAGCATTCAGTGAAAATATGTTCAATACTTTCAATTCCTGATTTGCACACATGGCATGTTGGGTCTATATTGATACCAATATAATGGAGGTAGGCACGAGTTGGTAGTTTGTTGTGGAGATATTTTCAATGAATTTTTTTTATTTTATTCGGGCAGTTGAGAGCCCAAATCCAATAGAAATTAGCGATGGTGTGGTTAGGAGGATTTACTAGATTGTAACAACTCTTTGACGTGAATTTACCATCATTAGACAGGGCCTAGGTCGCCGTGTCTTTGGGGTATAACTTTGGGTAGATAGAAAGAATGCTATTCTTTAGCGAATCAGGGAGGATAAAAGATAATTTTCCTAAGTCCCATTTGTTTTCAACCCAAATATCCCTTATTGAAAGATTCCTAGACTCTTTAGTGAGAGGACCTTCTTGAGAGGACCTAAGACTTTGGAAATGTGGAATCCAATTGGAATTCCAAACACCTAGGGAATCCAGTTAATACCTTTGTGGCATACTTCCCAACCTTTGACAACACTTTCCAAATGAAGGAGAAATACTTTAAATTAATGTTGTGTCCATACAAGGAAGAGAGGGTAGTAACCCAAGGGGAGCGAGGTTAGCTTTTGATGAGGTTTTTATCTTTCGCAGTATGAATACCTAGACCTTCTTAGTCTTTAAGAGAGGTGATAATTTTCCAGTTAATTAGATGAAGTTTCTTTTTACAATTTGTGGTACCCCATATGCAATTTCTTTGAATCTTGTCAATGTATTTGAGAATGTTTGAGGATAACAGATTGTATTGTATCACATGGTTAGGTATACTATTTAGCACAGAATTTGGTAGGGTTGTCCTACCTGTTATATTGAGGAAATTAGATTTCCATAAGGCTAGTCTCTTAGTCATGTTGTCAAGGATAAATTGGTAGTCGGATGATTTGGGCTTCTTGTTGGTTATTAGGAACCCTAGATACTTCCCAAAAGATTTACTAATTTTGATAACAAATAAGTTAGATAAGTAAGTTGATGTTGTTGTTGGGCAATATTTAGACACGACTAATTTTGATTTTTGTTAATTTATCTTTTGTCCCGATAAGGAGCAGAAATGAGTAAGGCATGAGAGAATGGTTGTAGGAGAACTCCTGTCCATGTTACACATTAGAGTTAGGTCGTCCGCACAGAATAGATGAGAAACGTGGTATTTGTTTTTACCAATTTTAATGGGAGACACAAATTGATGTCCACCATATGAGAAATTTGGGTGGAGAGTTGGCAGCTCTTATTTCATGAATGTTCATTGGATTATCTAGCGAAGATAGATCAATTAATTTGTGATTGGTAGTATCATTTTTTATTTCTTTCCAGTTTGAGGTCATATGATTGGTCCTAAAAATATCTTGGAAGTGTGATCTGGTATTGTCACACCTCCTTTTTGCGCGCCCGCCCCGAAGGGTTAAATGCGCGAGGGAGTTTTTCCAATTTAAGTGACAATATTCGAAATGAGATTATTTATTTAATTCAGAGTCGCCACTTGGGAAAGGTTTGGCTTTTGGTGTCCCAAGTCACCGGTTTATCTTGAATCCCAAATCGAGGAAATTTTCGACTTTTCCAAATGAAGTCTGCGAACCAGAAATTCTAAGTAAGGAATTCTGTTGACCCGAGGGAAGGTGTTAGGCACCCTCGAATCCCGTGGTT